GCCGCCACCCCTTGGGATCCATACGCTGTCCAACCTGGCACCTGCCTTTGGCATAGCCTTTGACCTGGCTGCTGGCACACCTTCCGGCGCCGGATTCAACACGGGAACATCAGTGCCTGAGCTTGATGCTGCTGACATACCTGCTGTACCTGAACCTGCCGAAGATGCACTTTCAGCAGCTGACGCACTCACGGACTCCGATTCGGAGAGATTGTACGGCGTTGCTGGAGTACCTGGTACGGCCTGATGCATGTGGATGTTGATATTCAAAGGTCTGTTGAACACATGTGGCGACTGCGAACCTGTGCTTCCCTGATCATGATCCTGCTGAACTGATTGATGCTGTAATGCCGGCCTGCGATGGCTGCGCAATCCAAAGATCATGAACGCAAGGATCAACAGAGCAATCTGTATCACCACAGTGAACAAGCCTGGGTACTGCTCGTACAACACAATCATCCATGCCATTGCATCGGAAACAAGGCTCATCACTAGGCTCATCCATCCATCATTGAGATCATTCTGATCGCTGTCATTGACATTGGGCTCATCATCCGGGCTCAAGGCGTTTGTTGCATTGGCCATGCTCATGAGAGCGGCAAGCATGATTTGTCTCACACGGGCCTTTGCTTGACCTGGAGCAACCTGCTGAACTGCTTTGACCGCCTTCTTGAACTGCTGCTTGGCCGTGAAATCAAGATAATCATCCTCTCCAATGGCATTGCCATACGCATCACACGACCGGAAGAGGAACTGCAACATACGCATGCGTGCTCTCGCCATGTGCTTTGTGCCTAAATCGGCGCAATTCAGATCCGTGCTGATCTTATGCAACACAACTTTGGCCTCAGCAACTGCTTGTTGGGTCCAAAGTACACGTGTGGAAAGGTGCCTGATGCGACCTACGCCTGATCAAGATGGTGATGCACCTGTGGCATATGACCTGTGCAAAACTCAATCAACAGCCTAGCAAAGATCCCATCGCGCATCGTTGAAGTTGCTGCGTGGACCTCCGCTTCTGCACTGGACAGGCTAACCAAGCGTTGACACCTGCTGGCTGAGTACAACAAATTGCCTGCCACAAAGACCATGGAAGATGACACACTCCGTCGATGCCCCTTTGACGAAGCCCAGTCACTATCACTCTGGGTCTCAAGAGGCATAGGGTCATCGTACCAACCTGCATGGCCTTGACCTGGGACAACCCTCTTAAGCTTTAAGCCATTGCCGCTGGCGCCAAGCAAGTACTTCACCAAGTGGCGCAAACTCAACATGGCTTGACGTGTCGGATTTGCCATGTATGCGCTCAAGGCTCTGATGGCATTCTGGCACTCAAGCAACTCAGGACTGAGGTAAAGTAGGATGCCCAGTGAAGTTCTGAAGATGCTTGCGTCAGCTCCTTCAAGAAGATTTGATGTATCCGGCTCATCCAACTTGGGATCGTAAGGAGTTTTCTTGCAGCAATCTCCTTCCTTCACGCCATGCAGTGCAAACAGCTTCTCAAAATGCTTCGGGTGTGGCACAATCAGGATTTCATTGCCTGGCAACAAAATGTGGCGCTTCTTCAGGAAAGTGATTGCATTATCCAAAGTGAGGATTTGCGCTGCAACCTTGTACCTCTGCTTAAGGCCTGCCGCAATTTCATCCTCCAAGAATGCAAGCAACGCTGCCGCAAGAACATCATCAACATGTAGTTGCATGAGGCAGTCCAGGGCTGGAGTTCTCAAGAGAGAAGGATATGCAACACACTTTTGCGCTGAGATGATCTGCTCAAGGTACTGTGTGAAGTCCAAGTACCACTCCTTTGACCCATCTCGTTGTCCTGGCAAGAGTCTGCCTAGCGCAAAGCTTTGCCAGTTGCCGCTTTTATCGATGTACTCGACAAGCGTTGGTTCCTTCTGCTTGACTGTGAGAAAAGCGTCGCGAATGTCGATGGCAGCAAGTGCAAAGTTATTCTGCAACGCTATGATCGGCGAAAGCTTGTTAGCGATGGCACTGCTTGCTGGGCTAAAGCAATCGCTACGCTCGCTCATCCAATTGAACTCTCTAGCAACATATCTGCTGCGGCGAAGCCAGATGGGCTTGGATGATGGATCTTCCTTCTCGCGCCACGTGCGCACCATCTTGGTGCTCAAGTGCTTGACTGGCTGCGTGCTTCCTTCCAAAGTCTCAGGAGGAAGTAGAACCTGCGTGCGCTGGAGTCTGGCTAGTTCGTGCTGGTCTGCTATGTCATCTAGCTCTGCAAGGGCTTCTGGTGACATCCAAGGCTCACTGTCATCACAGCGTGGGATGCAAAGTCTGGGATCAAGTTCTTGGTTGGAATCATCGTAAGAATCATCATCCAAACCAAACTCATAGTCCTCAAGACCATCTGCTGTGCCTGCATCTAGCACAAACTCAGGAACACCATCTTCATGCTCAAGTGTGAGCTCGCCAATTTGGCACAAGCTTTGCGCATCATCATACTCGGCAATCAAACAAACCGCACTCAAAGCACAGTCACTAACGCGATCACCGGCACATGTGATCAAATCCACATGGTTGACACGGCGCCTTGTTGCTGGCCTTGGATCGATGGCCTCCACGGGACCTACATTATCCCCGCCATCGCTTGCATGCACCTCTGCGCCTGGATCTGCCATTGCTGAACCTTGAGTCTGCAAACTTCAGGCACCTTGAACCTGACCTGACGGCATGCCCGTTTCCGGGCGCTCTGACCCTGTGGCTGACCTGGTGCCTGACATAGGGCTTGCGCTGCCTGACTGTCCCGGCAATGACATCCCCACTGAGGAAGGCGCGTGCTCCAATGGCGTGGTTGGTGGATCAGAACCTGCTTCGTCTGGTGTATGTGGTTGTTGATCAGGTGACCCACTGGTAGTAGTACTAGCGGGAGGAGCAACCATCATGGGCATGTCAATGGGAACTTCCGATGCAACTGGAGGCGCAACACGCTTACTAGGCACTAAAACACCCCCTAAGTTGGCATACCCATGCTCCCATGCACATGCATCCAGCTCACTCAGCATCTTGATGTCCCATGTGACCAAACCTTCTGATCGACCTCGTGACAAAGATGCCTCCGGGTGACCCTGGAGACCACACGATGTTGACGTCATTGAGCATTGTCCTGCCCAGCCAGATGCATTCAGCCCACCGCGGTGCGGCTTTGCCCGTGCTGTTGGTTTTCAGGAAACCCATTACACGTTCCCCGAAGAGACAAATCTTGCCTCCATACGTCATGCCTGTGGCTCTTTCATACGCTGTCTCACCATGCTCTACATGGAACCTGTTGCGAAGCCAACCTGCATGAAGCAATGCCCACGACCACACGGGACGATTGATGCCGAAGATTGCATCGGCTTGGTCATCTGGTCTCCCTGCCTGTGGCTCTCCTGATGCATCTGGCTGTGGCCTGACTGCTGCACCTTCTACCTGTGGCTCACCTGATGCACTTGCCTGTGCCTGCAAACCTCCTGGTTCGGCCTGCTTAACCAATATACATGTTTGCTGCCTTAACACTTGCAATGTTTGCTCGGCAGGGTTTGCTTCATGTGCATCAATTGGAATGGTGTCGGCCTGTGCTCGGATGCCACATGCTCGGCATGCACGCTTGGTGGCCTCGGCCACCTTCGTGATGGGATTCTCATTGTCGCATCGAAGTCGGATCTCATTATGGCCAATCCAGTTGACAAACCTTGTCAGTTCAGTCGGTCTTGGCTGGAATCCCAATCACTGCTTTGGTCTGCCTGTCCACTGCGAATAGTGCCGTCATGGCATCACCTCCCGCACGCAAGCTAAGAAAGCCATAGTCAAAGCTAAGCACGGAAACTGAAGAACCGGTGTGATCCGCAACTGATGGATGCTGGTCCTGTCGACCCTTGAAGCACACACACACGGGACACCATTCCTGATATGGATAGTGCGTCAAATTGTGTTCATGAACTTGTTGCGCCGAGGGTTCAACCGCAATTGATTGTGCAAGAGGCTGCCTAGTGGTCTCACACTCCAACGTGTGTGCAACTCCATGCTCTGCCAATGACTCCTGACGCACAACATGTTTGCTGAGACGTGCCCAGAGTTGGCCTCGGTTGCCTGAAGTAGAAATGCCACACGCACTGCGCGCTGATTTCAACACTGCGTGCGAAGAACCTGCTGTGACAGTGACCTCACCTACCTGGATGGCATTCGGTGGACCTGCTGGCTCCTGACCTGATGGCGCCTGAGGATCTGCTGGAACCTCTATACCTGGTGGCACATCATGGCCTGATGGCACAACGGGCGCCTGAGAATCTGATCCACTCGCTGGATCTCGAATCACACTGTCTTGCAGCAAACCTTCGCCTGAACCTGCTGGCACCTGGCCTGATGGCGCGTGGGGATCTGCTGCAACCAACTCGAAGCCCAATTGGGCAGGAACGAGGTCTGGGTCGTTGTATGACATTGTTATGACTGCCTCGATCTCATCTGGACGTTCCAAAAGCGCATCCAAAGTCTCTAACCCAGATATGTCTTCGGCAAATTCAGTCAAGTACCACTTGTTTTGGCGCTGAACAAGGGTTGTGCGGTACCAGCGAATGAACGGCACAGGCACCAACGTTGTGTCCACAAACGTCACGGCCATTGACTTACACGCAATAACCCCGTTGCCCACGTTGGTCCAGGAGCCACGCAAGCTCTCAAGCTTAGGCAACAAGTACACCTCAGGAGCGCTGACAACACGCATGTGTCCAGCAAGCATACAAATTGTGCCTTTAATCACAAACGATTGATTGCGATAACCCATAGGGATAGAGTCGACCCCATTCGTGAGCACCAAACCTCTCTCACAGGGCTGAACGAAGTATCCTGCCTTGTACAGGTGGCCTAGGCAGATAAGTGGGCTCGTCACTGGTGCCACCACGAACCTCTCTTTGAAGACTGTGGCTCCCAGAGTCACTTCTGCATCACGCGTGGCCTCATCGACATACCCCGCCATCGCAACATGGCCTGCCGCATCGTGTCCAACATGTGCGTACTCGAGAGGAAGTGCTGAGCAGTCTGCGCCCGAATCAAGTATGATATCTATGGTTGCCTCAGAACGCTTCTGAAGGGCTCTCACACTGTGAGCATGCTGGTTGCAAGCATCCAATGCTGTTAAACCCTCACGCGTATGCTCATTGCAAACGTCCAACGCTGCATACATGGCTTCAAGCTCAACTTGGCCTGAACCTTGGCTGCCATCATTCCGACGGCATGGCAAGTGCGGCAATGGCCTGACCTTGACTTGCCAAGCCGGAGGGATCAACACTGGAAATCATGTTCACATGAAAGTCCATCTCCGCATCACCCTGAGAGATATCATAAATGGTGAGATCCACTGGGCCACTGCCATCCTCAGCATCCAACCTGAAAACCTGCGGCTGCAACTGCACTCGGGCAACACGATTGGGCTGTGCATTCGACGCACTGTGCGAAGGAGCAACAGTACTCACGGCAGCTGATGATGCAACAACACTTGCATTGTCCGGGGCTTGCTCAACTGCGCGCGCAACGCCATGGGCATCACAAGTGACAACACCTTTGGCAATGTCTGCCTTCAACTTCCTGCAATCGCGCTTCCAATGCCCTGGCTTATGGCAATACAAGCATGACTGCGAGTCAACACTGCTGCCCTTCTTGCCCGAACCCTTGCCTTTGCCTTTGTCTTTGGTCTTGCCTTTGCCAGATTTGCCTTGCTCGCCTTTGCCCTTTCCTGACTTGCCCTTCTCCTTGCCCTTACCTTTGGATTTGCCTTTGCCTTTAGTCTGCACCATATCTATCTCCATCGGAACAGGACCCCCATCATTGGGAACATGGGGCACTGCAACCACGCCGAGTGCTTGGTGCACCTTCTGGGGAGACCATGTCGTTGTTGTCGTTTCGTAGGCGAGGATATACTGCCGTACCTGGTTGTAGGTACTGCCTTCGTTCATCGCAAGCTGAATGTGGCTTCGTATGTGAGCAGGAAGGCATCTCAACAGTGTGCCTAGGAGGACATCGTCGCCTATGGATCTTCCAGATACCCTAGTGTATTCATTGGAGGTCCTCTCCAGTGCAAACACTTGTTCTTGAAGGATCTTATCCTTGGTGAACACGGGCACACCTGTAAGGGCATTGAGGATGGCCAGGCTGCGAGCTCTTGTCTTTGGTGCGTAGATGTTATGCAGCTGGCGCCACACGTCGTATCCGTTTCTGTCTTCCACCTGCTTGAGGATAGTCCTGGGCTTATGCCTTAGCATTGACGAAAGAACGGCGTAGAGTTTTGCGCCACGCTGCTTAGCTTCATCGCTCTCCTTAGTGAGGTCTATAGCCTTATCCAAATTCTTCTCTACCGCTTGAAGAAGCTTTTCGTGCTCTCCATCTGCGAACGTGATCCAATTCCTGAATGTTTGGACCCAATCCTGAAATGCAGAAAGATCGGCCTCGTGCGATGCAGAACCGAATGGATCTGGCTTGCTCAACACTTTGTTTGCGTCGCTAAAGTCTACGCTGGATGAAGAAACAATGGGTGGCTTGGGCTGCTGATTCTGATTCAAGACTATGTTTGAAAGCAATTGCGTCGTTGCTGCCAACTGCTTCAAGATAGCTCTTGCTGGATCGGCATTCGCGGGAGACCCTGCGGGAGAATTCAAAGGGAATGGATTTGTAGCCACTGGCGCACTAGCTGATGATGCTGCAGGCTGCTGACCTAAGGGCGCACCTAACTCTTCATCATCACTATCAGGAACCTGTGCATTTGCTGCAGCCATTGCTCTAAGCTACTGCACCTCCAGCGATCAAGCAGACACTTGACCCAACTGGGAACTGGCAAGCTACGGTCGAGAGGCTCTAAGCTTCACCGAAGAAACCCAAACCCAAAGAACAGAGGAAAGCTCCAAGCCTGGGCCCCTGAACGTAATCCCACAGAATCCAAAGACGTGTCTACTGGAGACCCGGCTGTCCGGGCTCCGCTACCATGATTTCTTTTCATCGAACACTCAAACGCCTGTACATACAATCCATGGTCAACATGTGCTTTCACATGCATGGTAAAACATACTAGTCTAGGGATACAAATCAGGGGACATGTACACACTCAAAATGTTTGTCAACTTTCCAGACGTCCAGCTTGTAGAAGACATGCAGCAAGGTTTCAGGATAACAGGTTGGCTGGAGGACACGTCCGTCCGCCCGACTAAGGTGGTCGTTCCTCTTTTGTCTGCTGAGGACCTCTGGGAAACCAGGATGGACAACAACCTTAACATGTGGACCATGTGTAGGCCGTCAGGTGACCCTGACATGGACCAGGCTTTTGGGCAGCAAACCCTTAAGGAGTGTCATGCTGGTTGGTGCACTCTACACTCAGGGCTCACGCACCCTCCCAGGAACGCACTCTTGTCTCGTAGATTCGCAGTGCCAAAGTCAGGCCGATAGATGACTTCTCAGTCTCAGTCTCCCAGGTAAACCAAACTCTTGGGTCCATCGAGAAGATCGTGGTCATGCCCACGTCCTCCACTGTGTCCCTGTCCTTAGCTTTGCAAAGGGGCCTTACCGCCAGGGCGGACAGGCCTTCACCGGCAGGAGCAGTTTCCTTATCAGGGAAGACGTTCGACCTCAAAAGTGCATACAAGCAGCTCCCCATCCA